TTTTTTTTTTGTCGTTTTGTTTTGTTTTTCAGGAGTTAAACTCCAATTGCAAATTTTCTTGGACTCATTTGTCTAATATTAACTTGGTTCCCGGCTTCGTTACAAGGTTTAGAAATCAGCTCTAAGAAAAATCGAATCATTGCACAAAAACAGAGCTTTAGTTAAAGTGTGACAAATATTGGTTGCCTGAACTGAAACGACTAAGTAAATACAATATTTGAAGCGAATGACGGAATAATAAGCAACTCTCATGATGTCATTGACAACTTGGTGTGATTACTATTTAGCTCCTAAACTGGAAATCTAACTCACGTGTAAGCCGGCACAAAACGCAACAGTGATTAACACACACGCATGAAACGTTGAGCGAGAAGTGGGTCTCTTGTTTTGGACCTACGCCGGTAAGAGAATGACATTTTGCCTCAGTGAGATAAGAGACCGTTGGTGTATTATCTTCCCCGGGAGTTTGATCGGGAGTAGACAGGGGGGAACGTAAAATGTTTTTGAGACTTTTGGAGAAGGTCTTTCTTGGATTGACAATCATAGCCTCTTGGAATGACTAATACATAAATAAACTCCCGCTAAGGGTGCATAATGTTTCTTACAATTGTTCTTGACTTACTGAGGTACTGTTATGGACTTTTAGAAAGGCGCCTTACTGACTGAGATATATACTGAATGAGAAACACGCGAAATTTTTTTTCTCCAAAGAGACAGTTCATTTCTACGGGGGTACAGGTGGCTGGTGGGATTTCATTTCATTTCATTTGTTCCTCTAAGTAACGAGACGAGATCAGAGAAAAACTGGATTAAAAATCAGACAGTTCTGTGTATTTGCCCGATGAATAAAAGTATGATATTGACCTAGCGGGTGGTAGGTATTCGTAAAATATTGGTCGAGTTCCTTTTATGCAAGTTTATAAACTAGCCAAAACTAGAGGGAAACCAATATTTAAGAGTTAACAAAAAACTTAGTTATAGTGGCTCTTGTAAAACTCTGCTGATAAACTAGTGTTTCCCTGCGATCCATTGAAAAAAAAAAGATTTCTACTTGACAACAAATTGTTTTCTGAAAGTGAATATATGAAAGATCATATATTAATATTTGAATATATTTTTTATTTGTGCAATGATTTGAAAAAACAGCTCGCCGAAGCTAATTCGTGAGCTTTCAATATTAGCGGTCCCATATTGCAACATTCAGACCCGTTGGGAACCAATCTGAAACTTCCTTTTTATTTTGGACCAGTTCTCTATATCATGCATATAACATAATAAGCACTATTTTTGTCAGCTAGCTCAACGAGCTTCATTTTTTTTTTGTTATCATTTTTTGTGACGTCGTTTGTCAAACCGAGATTATAGATGTAACAATCCCTTTGTGTTTGGATTCATTGTTTCTTATCCTTAAACGACGGGAGGGAAGTATATTCAACGGTTTGTTTTAATCTCCTCCCCTTGCTGTGAGTGAAGTCTGTCGATCATGATGGACTCCTGGGATATGCTGTTAGGTAATAAATAAAGTATGGAAGGGCCAAAAGGGAGTTGGCTGAGAGTGACGTGGCTGAGGGAGGAATGGAGTGTCCCCCCCCCCCCCCCCCCCCCCCTCTCTCTCTCTCTCTCTCTCTCTCTCTCTCTCTCTCTCTCTCTCTCTCTCTCTCTCTCTCTCTCATCCAGAGTAATAATCTTGCTTGAGCCTACGATCCAAGTTTACCTGGAAAGCGGTCAACTTCAAAAAACACTGAGCTAGAAACCTGAGCCTACGATATGCTCACGTAATACCGGTCAGCGGATACCTTGTTTTGACAGCTGTCAATTGCTCATAACATGGATGTGCAATATCAAAGATAGTTATGGTGCTACTCATTTTTCAAGGTATGGGGGTCGCCTCGCGCACGCGCAGTGCAAATGTCGTACGAACGTACGGACAATCGTGACGACCAGTATTTTTAGCTCGCTTTTAATCTTAGTGTGGGAGGCGCGGTGGTGTTCCCTTATGGTTAGTGCGCTCGTCTCCGGATCGAGCAGTCGGAGTTCGAGCCCTGGCTGGGGAAGTTGCGTTGTGTTCTTGGGCAAGTCACTTTCCTCTCACAGTGACTCTCTCCACCTAGGTGTATAAATGAGTACCGGCGAAATTAAAACTGGGGCCGGGGGTCATGTAATGGACTAGCATCCCTTCCAGGGGAAGTACCTTATCACATGAAATTTTCGCGACATGTTAATTTCGCAAATTTCGCGATTTAAAAACAATCGCGAAATTAGAGTGACACAACGATAAGTGTCGCGAAAGTTAAGTGACTTACGTTATGTTACCGTTAACATATAGTCCAGCCATTGCGTTTTTGTTAATTTTGACCGCGTTATTGTACCTTTGATAAAGTCAATTTACTAAATTCGAGGACTTGTTCAAGTAACGTTCAGTGCTAAGCAAATTGTGTGTTACTCGAAAACGAGAAGTTAAAGCGATTCAAAATACAAAGTTTTCGCAAAATCCGGAATTTAAGCGTCGCAAAACACGCGCACCTCAAAATCGCGAAAAAAAACATGTCGCGAATTAAAATTTCATGTAGTGAGGTAAAAAATATTTTAAATGCACATTTACATTTCAAAGAACTATCGTGCTCAATTTTGTGATATGTGCCTGAATAAAGTTTACTTACTTACTTAGAAATACTCCTCCTCATTTTATACCCATGAGGCCCAGCATACCTTGTTGTCGCGCAGGAACGTCAAAAGTCCTGAAAACTACCGGCGCACGTTAATTTTTTTTTGTTTTTTGTTTTTATTATTTAAAACAAATAGATTCGAAATTGCCGTGCTACTGTTCAGTAATGGATCACAGGAAACGTCAAAATGTGGCAGAACATCAGTGATACACTCGGCTATCGCATCATGTGCCAAGTTTTTTCATTGGTTCTTACCACATTTTGACGTCATCTGTGATCAATTACTAAACAGACGCACGGCAGCATGGAATCTATTTGGTCACATATGCACGGAAATTATAGAACACGAGAAAAGTTTGGGTCACGAGTCGTGACCGAGTCGTTTCATGCTACTGTAGCCTTCAGAATGGGTGGTTTAGCGGAGCAGAGCGCATAGAGAGACATACACTCGTTTTTAATCTAAGAACCTTTTTTACAAGAATGCTGAGGCTGAGATTAATCACAATTTTAAGAACTCATTAAGACCAATTCAGACTGAGAGTCGACTAAGAACATTTTTATTTTGCTAATCTGTATATTAAATGACAAGCATGAAACAAAAGCAACAACAACAAAAAATGTCAATTAATCCAAATACCTAGGGCATGTTTTGTATAACACTAACAATGGTTTCCTATTGCATGACACGCATGGCTCGGTCTGTAATAATCAGCATTTCTTATTTACAACTGTTCCAAAGTAACTTCGACATCATCAAAGTCATCAGGTGATACAAATTATACCATGTAAATTTAAGAACATCTTAAGAACGTTTTCAGCCTCAAATCGCCAAAAAATGTAAGAACGTTCAGCCTGAGCTCCAAAATTCTGAAAATTAGACGTTTTTATATAAAAAAGAGTGTTCAAGACATACAAGCGCGCATTGCGTTTAGTCGGAGAGGTCGTCGGAGAGATAAGCACTCGCTTACTCGATTAGCGCTCTGCCTCACTCTACCACCTAATTTGCAGTCTTTGCTACTAAAACCATAGGCACTTAACCTCAAACTCAAACACACCTTTCCAACCCGTAATTACGACAAATTTGTTATTGTTGTAAATTTTCATTACATAACATTATTCGCGCTCGTACGTGACATTGCATACTAGACCATACTTTCTCAAATTTCGTTTTCCACCACTATATCGCTCTGTTTCGCACCGAGAGGACCATGACTTTCGGCGAGTTGTATAGTTGACAGTGTTTCGCGAGGCAACTACATTTTAGTAAAGCAAACCGAGCGTAGCTAAACATGCGTGCAAAGGATTACATCACTATCCTGTCACATAAAGATGGTGACGACAAGTTGTAACAAGAGCTGTCTGTTGAATCGACCGCGCTAAATATTAGCCATTCTTATGACGCATTAAGCTTTAGAACAGCTTAACACACGGATCAAATACGATCGCTGCTTTGCCCGAAAAGTCTAAGATAATCTGCGCGATGTCTTCACCAGCTCCTCTGTCAGAGCCACAGACGACCAAGCAGAGTGAGCCTGTATACAGACGACGATTAGTGATCGGCGTCATTGTTTTCTTAGTCGGGGCTAATGTAGTCCTGATCGCTGGTGTCATCTTCATGCAAGAAGAAATCAGGAATTTGAGAGGCACAGTCGAAGAACTGAAGCCATTACAAGGTAACATATCTAATATTGGTTGGTCTTTAGAAAAACTCATCACAACAGACATAACTCGACAAAGCGGCAAAATGATTTCTCACATGGTGACTCCTCGGCTGTTATGATTCTGTTTAATATCTAGTGTACTTCGATTCATTAATATTTCAGTCCCACAATTGTTCATCTATTGTGGATTTCTCCTGAATTAAAGGATGCAAATTAAAAGAGAAAATGTCATGATCATGCTCGAATTTGATGATAATTATTTACGATATTCCTTGGTGGGCTAAAATAGGTGACATGGTAATCCGATATTGCGCGCTCAAACGCAGTAATAATAGTTTCCGCGTTTGTCATCGTCTGAACTTCTGGAACTTCTTGGTTGCTGCAGAGATTTTCTGTTTTCTATTTTTCAATCAAATGTGAGCCGCCAACAAGCGGCGACAACGAGCTTTGTCGATGATGAAGCAGATGTTGTTTTACAGCTGTTGTACTCAAGGCTTTTATATAATGTAGAAGAAAGGCGTGGAAAAGACTTTTTTCAAGGGTTTCCTTTGAGACGTCAGACGTCGTGGAGATCGAAAGACACTGATTGCACAACTGTTTCGCTGCGTGGGATAGCACAGAACACGATCGTTACCTTTTCCGCCCGAGAAAAGGAGTATGTGTGGCTCGATTTCTCAAAAAGAAGGAGGATGGTGTGCGTACTAAAGGTGTCAGTTGCTCTGTGACCTTGCTTTTCAAACAAAACTCCTCGAGGCCTCGCAATGTCCTCCCTGCTTCCGACCAGAATGTGACACATCCTGTTAAAAGCTGAAACGCCCGAAACCCAATCTTGAAACAGGAGATCGAACCTCTGGTATAAACCCTGCAAAAAAGTGTTTCGTAGGGATATGCCCCGAGATCCCAAGCCTTGTGTTATACAACAAGTTAAGATGATCCCAGGAAGATTACGCTGTACCACATCAATAAGAAAGAGGAGAAAAATAAAACATTTTTACCTGATGCGTTTACAGACACGTTAGGTCGCGTCTCGATTCCTACAGTATTTTTCCGATATGTTGACATTGTTGTAAACCTTAGATAACACTTTCCCACTGAATAGCTTTTACAACGAATTCACAAGTTACCAAGGGTATTTTTTTCACAGAAGTCTAGTTAGAATCAGTGACTACCCGGGGTGACTACCAGCTTGTACCTGAACATATAGAAGTACGCTGCCCCTACAACGACTAAGTGAAAAAATTAAAGTGAAAAAAAATGATTAAAAAAAAAGATAAAAACACATTGTACGCTTTCTGTAGTTCTGCCAAGAAAAGAAATTTTGCGAACAAGAACGATGTTTGCCACCAGGGTGCCTATAATTATCGATTCTTTTCTGACCGTATATTTGGGTCCCTTTTCTCCCGAGATGCACTGAGATTATCTCAGGCAATAATTAACGGTTGTTTATGTCTCTTCAGATGACGTCACGGACGTTGATAACCAAGCACGCGTGTCCACGCCTGCTCAACGGGGAAAGATGGCCAAAGGAAGACACGTACGGCTCTCGAGAACTGCAAGAGGTATGAGTCTCTGGGCATAAAACACTAATGAAACGTCACGCAATGTTTGTGATAAGTTGGTAATGCAGGCGAAAAGTGACAGGGTACCGGGTTTGAACAAATTGACGATTCAACAAGGAACAACTCCCGCTTGATAAACCATGAACATTTGTATCACATTTTAAGATGTGAAAAATAGAAGATGGTGACGGAATTTCTAGCTTACCTCATTAAGAAGCACGTGTAATTACAGGGTGCTTGAGTGTTTGAATTAAAGTTTGTCTAAAGCCTCATTTGGAGATTATGGTGTCACGCACGTCTTTCTATTATCTTCATTGTTGTAAGTAATTAACTCCACTTGACAGGTCAGTGTGAGCCAATCAGGATCCCAATGTGTAAAAACATGCCGTATAGCTCAGTACAGTTTCCAAACCTCATGAATCACCAGACCCAAGACGAAGCTATGTCGGTCGCTAGCAAGCTTGCTCCACTTGTTAAGGTTGGATGCTCTTCTTCTATGGAACCTTTTCTGTGCTCCGTTTTGGCACCTCCCTGTAACGGGACTCAGAAGCCCATTCCTCCGTGTAAGGGGCTTTGTAAGAGCGCAACAAAGAGCTGTAAGGAACTACTAAAGAAGTTCGACATCATGTCAGATCAGGCCATGATGAGATGCAAGCATTTGCCAAAAGAGGGAGTCTCCAACTGTTTCAATGGATCGTGGCAGGAAGTAAAGAACACACCTCGCCCAGGTGAGACCAGAATGAATGAGCATGCGCTATAAGAGAATTTTGAAGCCCTCTTTGCTACTAGCTTTATCCGATGATAATTTACTTTGGGTTAGCATTTACTTTGGGTTAGCGCGACTCTACGAAAGAGTGAGGCAAACGTCACTGGTCCCTTTAGCAGTAAATTAGGGTCAAACGGAAACCCAGGGTGACTTCCCTTTTCAAAATGACGAGTATTCTAGGATTCTGCTCGCTGTACCTCTTAGAGGGGAAAGAAATAAGTTGAATGTTTCAGAATTGGTACCTCTAATAAGGAAAATAAATTTTGCCGAGAAGCACAAAACGAGATTCTGGGGCCTTTAAGGGATTCTTTCTAACATTTTTCACGAGCGGCCCCGACAGTTTTATAGGCTAGAGCCCCTTAGGGCATATTAGACATACAATACAACTGTTATGGCCATTTGATAGTAACATATATATCATATGCCTTTGTTAACATCTGTTGACAAACCAACAGCTTCCCTTTGTCTTTTCAGAGTTTTAAATCTAATAAAAGTAAATTACGGAAATCATGACGAAACGAGGACGGCAACGTGAACGTCACTAAAAAGGTTTAATTAGCAGAACATAGCTATGCATGTGCATTAAAAAAATTTGTTCCAATTTTACCAGTTTCTGTTTTGCCTCAGAGAAAAGATGAATGACGACGGTTAACATATTATAACTGAATATGTCTGTTTGGAAGGTAAACGGGCGCTGTGGATGCTGTACACCAACAGACACACTAAAATGATCCATGGTATTAAATTAATTTTTCAACCTTTCGCAGCCATTACTTTCCACTTAGTAGCGGTATTAAACCTTGGAATTGACGGTTTCCAATTAGCCTGCGAACGCAGACGTATTTCCGGCTGCCGCTCGTCTCCGCCGAAAAATAACGTCTGCAAACCAGAGCCAGGAAACGACTTCTCTGACGTAGGAATTTTAAGCCAATCACAGTTTAGCTCAAGTAGCCCCAGACCTACTGCGCGAGGTATTCGCTGCGAGGAGCACTCGAGTTTCATTTTATCATGGAATCTGATTGGCCAAGGAGAAACAAAAGTCATTACGTCACAGCAATCGTTTCCTGGCTCGGGTTCGCAGACGTTATTTTTCGGCGGGGACGAGCGACAGCCGGAAATTCGTCTGCGTTCGCAAGCTAGTTTCCAACCAATTTCGAGCGATTAAAATCACGTGGCGTCCGTGGCGGCCATGTAGCTGACACAAACAGAAGAGGCTTGTTAGAGATCTTTAATTAATGTTTTGCAAGATGGCGGCGATAACGTCGCACGAGAGCCAAGCCTAGTAGTATGTTGTCGCCAAAACTTAAGTATAGTCAGAGTTGTGTTTGAAAACTGCCTCAAATTTTATAAAAATACCAAATGAATTTTACTTAAGAGATAAATTCCTGCTTAACACGAGTGTAATGCAAACCAAATCACTGGCAAAATTAGTCTATGCACTTCAAATATGAACTTAGACCTTCAATCATGGGGTTTGGGCAAACGTTGACACTCAAGACATTATTAAACCATTGTGCCAAACATGTTGTAGTGTTTGCTAATTACACACAAGAACCTCTTAAAAAGTGTGTTCTGTTACTCTGCTGAGTTTAGAGCAATGACGAAAAGAGACTAGCAAATTTACCTTCTTTGTTGAACGTCTATTCACACAGCAACGGGATGCCGACCAATGGCGCACCAGTGCAATAGATATTCTGCACCACCCTGGTTGAGTCAGTTCCCAAACTACTTCGGTCACACGAATGACAAAGAAGCCTCGGTTAGCTTCCAGAGGTTTGACGAGATCTTTCAGATGGCTCCTAAAAAATGCTCGTCTCTTTTGGCAAGCTTCCTCTGTGGACTTTACGCACCCTCCTGTCGAGGTACCGAGCGTCTCCTCAAACCCTGCAGAGAGCTCTGTCTTGAGGCAAAATCACAATGCAAGCGAGTAATTAGAGATGTTAGTAAAACAAAGGGGTTTCAATGGCCATCGGATCTGAAATGCAGGAACTTTCCGAGAGAAGATGAAGAACCTTGCTACAACGGACAGTCAGCTGGGGGAGACTCTACGACGCCACAAACAGGTGATAAACGGCCGTATTTTCTTTGGTGGACGAATAATATTGCGTATCAGACGTATTATGCTTCTAGCACTAACGGCGACCGTTGACGCACACAACTCGTTTGTTTACCAAAAAGAACTTTTGTGAGAGAGATACGTCTGCGTCTGTTTAATACGTCCAAAATTTAATTGCTAAGTTCGTCTGACATTTACTACGTCTTCTTTTCCGTATTTACCTGGACGCATACTGTAATATGTCCAATAACATATATTGGTCTACAGTAATTAAAAACTAGCCTCCATTTGGCAAGAATATATGCTCGAATATTTGTCTGACGTTATCTGTTCCGAGAAGCGAACAGTTTTCAGTGGGTGAAAGTCGAGGAAACTTGGATTGTGAGCTTGAGGAACAGATAACGTCAGACAAATATCACAGCATATTTTTAATGTCAAACGGGGGCAATTGTGTTTATTAACCTTCAGATATTTTTCACAACACGCGAAGTTTTGGAAATTGAGGAACATCACTCGGATATTCCCCAGTTTTAGCTGAGGAATATTCAGTCACATGACGCGTTTAGACCAATTGCGTGTGGGCGAAAATGTTTGTTGAATTAACGTTTAGATTGTTGTAGTAAAATTTTAGTAAATTACGCGAAAGTAATGACGAGAATGACAAAAGTTATCGTCTTCGGGTTGTTCTATTGATGTACCATCAAGTTGTCAAAACCCACGTATGGGAAAAGAGACACATAACATTAACTAAGAAAAGTTTTAACTTTAAAAATTTAAAAATTTCCAATCTATAGATTTTGTTGTGGTGGCTCCCCCTGCAGATCTTGTCAGATTCCGTAACGACGGGAGAAGAATTCGGAAAATCTCTTCACGAGTCCAATTTCTATATGGTTGAGTCATCGCTACAAAATTTACAGTTTGAAACCGAAAGAAAATCTTGCCATCAGTGTAAAAGCTAATTCGAATGAATGCAAAACGCGCGTGGATTGAAAAGAAAATCAGGCCCCGAGAAAATTCGAACTCATGGCCTTTACAACTCCGATGCAAACTCTCCACCCCTGCGGTCACTGATCAGACCAGTGAAGCTTCTGGGTGTTTTGTATTGGCATGCAGATCTAGAAGAGACTGGGTCATTTACGAACTCTATTAATAGCGCCGTAGAGATGATAGGAAATGATGACTATAAATATGCACGTGGGCGCAGTTGCACACTTGAAAAATTTTAATTTTTTTGTTTTTTGTTTTGTTTTGTTTTTTTTTTTCAGGCAAATGTGAGGTTATTTCAATCCCCATATGCAAGAATGTTCCGTATAACATGACGGTGTTTCCAAACTATTTCCGACACAAGACTCAGGAAGAGGCTGCGCTCGAAGTTCATCAGTTCTTCCCGCTGGTCCGAGTCAACTGTTCAGTGGACTTGGCCTTCTTTCTGTGCTCGCTTTACGCTCCTCTCTGCTCGTCTCTAGACGTGCCGCCACTGCCATGCAGAGAGCTTTGTCTTCGAGTTCAACGTGGGTGCCTTCCTTTATTACAGCAATATGGTTATCAGTGGCCAGACAACATGGCATGCGATAGATTTCCCTGGGGAGGGGGTCAGGATGTGTGTATCGACAGACCTAATGCCGTTGACGTCACCACTCCACCTCCACTTCCGACAAAGGGTAAGATGAAGTTTGACCAAAATGAAATTAAAAAGCAAGTAAGACAAGTATAAGCCTTCAAAATTTGTGATGGAGTAATTTCAGCAATCTTCCAGCTCGTCACGAAATTTTTGCGCCTAACTTCGAGGTGAAGGATAAGAAGATATATAAGGAGAGTAAATTGCGGGAAGACGTAATAGCACTCGAGTCGTGAGCGCTTCATTAAACAGAAACTGGCGTTGAGGACGAATATCGATGAGTGGTTTGGGCTCGTTCGATTCCTTGAGTTTACCTAACTATGTAAAACTGATTGCTGAGGCAAGGTTTGAGGGAAAGGTTAGGAAGGAGAACGGCGAGGGTGAAACTGCAAAATGAGATATTGAAATCAGTTTGTGATTGGTATCTTCAAATTTTCACTGTAGTTCTTCAAACAACGTGTCTGAATTCCTTTCCTTTGCAGCCGGAAAATGTGAACCTCTGAATCTATCTACATGCAGTGGTTTGCATTACAGTACCACCTGGGTTCCCAACTACTTTCAGCACCAAACGCAAGATCAAGCTGCCCTTGAAATACGCAGGTACAATCCAATCATTCAAACCAATTGCTCAGCAGAGTTGACCCTCTTCCTCTGTTCTCTGTACGCACCAAATTGCATTCCTTATGCGCACAACGTACCCTGCAAAGAGCTCTGTAGTCGCGTCAAAAAACAGTGTGTTCCTAGAATGCGGGAGCTTGGGATCAAATGGCCGGTGTCTTGTTCTAAGTTCCGGCGGGAAGCCGACGAACCTGGCTGTATTGGTGGACCCCCCACACCTTCGGTTACCAAGGCGACTCCTTCGAAAGACGGTAAGAAGCAAATCACGCTTGGCCAATCACAACAAACGTAGTTAGATAACTCAAACAAGCAATCAGGAATTTTTATTTCAGACCATACAACAGATGCTATGCGTGGGACACCGTGCCTTAGTCAATTCACGTCTGGGTTTGGTTTCGGTTTTAAGTACATTTGCTCTTGACAAGGAGAATGAACATGGTTCCTAAAGCATGCAGTTGGGATTCTCAGAAAATGTTTAAACGAAGTAAATGCGCAGTTACTTTGAGCACTAACTAAAAACTAATATGAACAAAGAAAAATACTCTGAAATGCGAAGAGCACTGTTCTATTTTTCTAAAAATTCTATGATATATGAGAACGTGGAAAAACTTCTAACATAAGTCATTTTCTTCCGGCCCCCAAACAGGCAGTGATTGAAAAAAAGTGTTTGTAAATTATGAGCAAAGTAGTCTTGATTGTTTATTAGCACTGTTCTTTTTTAAACTGTTCGCAGGAAGATGTAAACCCCTGACCATTCTTATGTGTCGTGGTCTACACTACAATATGACGCTGTTTCCCAACTTCTTCAATCAAACACAAGCAGAGGCATCCTCTGAGATTGTACAGTTTTCTCCTCTTGTACGTTACGGCTGTTCCACCGAGCTGCCCCTTTTGCTGTGTTTTCTATACGCCCCTCCCTGCAATGTACCTCGCCTGCCATGCAGAGAGCTTTGCAATCGAGTCAAGAATAGCTGCCTCCCTGTCTTAACGGAATTCGGTATCCCGTGGCCGACGAGCATAGCTTGTGACAAATTCCCCTCTGCCAGACAAGGAACTGAGTGCATTGGAGCATAACGTTCTGTTCCATCTACTGCAAACCCAACTACTCGACCTCTTAAACGATAAATTATGTTTTTAGTGTCGGAGTTATACTATGATTACATTAAAGAGGTTAATATGTGTCCGATGTAGCTTCCTGCCACAAACCTTCTCGTCGCTCTTTTGAGAGTGTAAACAGGAGAGGCTCACAGGTATAAAAGAGAGATAATTAAACCAATTAACAAGTACTGACGAGGTTGAGCAAAATATTGCGAATTTTCAATGGCGCGCAAATCAACTATTTGCCAAAGCCGAAGGCTAAGGCAAACACTTGATCTGCAAGACCCTGACAAATCACGATACTTTGCGATAACCGAGTTTAATAATTGGTCTATCATTTGATCTCGGAGTTTCTTTTCATATTTAAATCACTCTCTGACAGCTCAGGGAAACGATCTGTCATTTTTCACACAAGAGCGTGGGTCTAATTACGCATGAGCAGAATATTATTTGCAGCAAACCACATTTAGACGGAATTCCGAATGAACAGGCCATTGTTTGTAGACAGTTAATTGCAGTTCTCGTGGTGGGTTCTCAGCCAATGAACAGAAATAGCAATTGCATCGGATGAAAATCTTCCCTATTGGCTTTTTATTACCATGACAATCCTTCTCAAGTGATTCACACATAGGATTGGCCATTTCTAGACCCTTCAGGAATTTCCCAAAGCTCGAGAGTAAGTTCCGAGAATAACTTGAGAAGGTTTACCTTGGGAATAACAGAGATTAACTCTCTTCATCTTCTCTTAGTGAGCATGCGCACTCTTACTACAGATAATTATTGATAATTATTATTTCTGGCTGAAATTACTTGCCTTTCTCCCTGAAATCGTGTTTAGTTTGTTATTATTCTCGAAGTCTTTTGGTGTTTTTTTTTTTTTTTTTTTTTTT